ATGACGAGTCTGAGGCATCAATTTGAGAAATCAATATCATATAAACCACCACAAACTAAAATTATAATAACTTTAATTTAAACATATTATAAAATTAATTCATATTAGTATTGACAATAAAGACTTCGAATCGACATCAAATTGAAATTTTAATTAAAGAAACTGCGCCTCAGAATCGACCCTGTCAATGACAGATAGGTAATTTGAAATTTGGCAGTATTGCATATCTGTCATCTTTACTAATATCTAAGTTTATTTATAAAAGGTCTTTGTTATAAATTCAAATTCTTCAAAGTTTTTTTTTTGTTTTTATAGAATTGGGATAAGTACGGTCTTTTTGTAATGCCCTAAATTTCTTTTTAAAAAAAAAAAAAAACGACAGCTGTACATAATGGCTAACGACACACCCGAAAGTGATTTTTCTATAGAATGCTTTCAAAATTACTCGGCCCCTGAAGTGTTCGTGCAAGGCCTAGCTGGAATGGTAGACCAATCTGACGTGGAAACAGTTATTAGGGCCCAAAAAAATATGTGAGTAATTGTTAAACCCGTTGTTGTTTATTTAAGACTACCTACCGACTAAGAGACCAGAAAGTCCTTATAACTCATCTGTATAGATTCTACCGATCAGGCTACCAAGAGATTTAGGACAAGTCATCTGCACGGGCGCTTTTGTCTTAGTCTTATTTCGTTCACCAAATATCTGTGCTGACATGGCTGTGTTTGAATAGTGGATAAGACAGTGAAATTATTAGGTATGGTAACATAACACTTTCGGGGGGGAAGGGATTGTTAATAACGGAGACTGAGAATCCCATTGCTAGCAATATACCCAACCAGGTCGACCTCCTCGCGGTTCTCCCTGGAAACTATCATGGTTAATTCCTGATGAATTCATCATGATGGGCTAACTGGCCTGTTTTCATTCTCATCTATCACCCTTCACAGGTACTCTGCAAGTGTATACCGTTAGCACAGGCGGGGTTACCATACCATTTTCACCCATCAAAAAATAAAAAAAACACTTCGTCCACAGGAATAACAACAAATGAGGTGTTTCATAATGACCTCAATGTTCTTTATGATGTCTGAGGTGCTGTACAAATCTATAGACAGCACTTTATCATCAAATGACAGCTTATTTATTAATAATTATTATTGTTTATTGCTAGAAATGGTGTTAGTGAACTAAAATAATAATGCGAAAGAGTTATTTATTTATAAAGATGACCACAGCTAATAAAATTTATATTAATTAATGTAATCGTATCAGGTTGCAGAGATTTGAAAAAACAACAGAGATGTTAACAAACTGCAATCAGCTATCTGCCAGCCGACTCCGTGCTGCATCTGTAGAGTTCAAGAAACACACGCAACTACTCCTCGAGATGAGGAAAGACCTGGAGTTTATATTTAAAAAGATACGAGCCATCAAAACTAAGCTGAGGTATGAAATAGTATTCCCTTTTTATACCAACTTCAAAAAGAAAGATATTCTCAATTTTATTGTAATATTTTTATGTTTGTTACCTCACAACTCTGTCAGTTGGAAACCAATTTGAAAAATTGAGCTATCTGAGCTATGAATATCTGAAAGGATAAAAACTGAAGGTAGATTAGATAGGTCCCATAAAAATTTTATCAAAATTAATTCAATAGTTCACTTTTTAGATTGAACTAATTTTTTTCACAATTGTAATTTTTTTTTAATTATGCTGTAGTTTTGTAATGCAACAGTCATTAGTCATTTATACAAAAAGCAATGTACATTGTGTCTGATATTAAGTATGATCATATAAAAAAGCATTAAATTTAATTTAATATTACAAGTATTGAATAACAACATATATATATATATATATTAAAAGGCGAATGTGTATGAAAAGATTGATGAATGTGGAAGAAGCGAAAGAGGTTTGTTTGAATCGAAGCATTTGGCGTTCCATTGTTTCTGTCTACCCTAATGGGAGACAGGCGTGACAGATATGTATGTATGTATGTATATATATATGTATGTATATATATGTATATATATATACATATATGTCAAATTTATTTTTTTATTCTAGTATTTACATTAATCACCAGTACAAAAGTCATTAACGGAGTAATAGCATTTTTTCAATAAATGGGATCATAGTTTAATTTTAAAAGAATGGCTAAATAGGCATAAAACTTTATATAATGTAAGACCACTGATTAGGTATCAGTGGTCTTTGTTTAATGCAAATAAATTTATATAATTCTTATAGTTAATAGTTATTAACCAATAAAGTTTCCACTATTAACTATTACATACAGAACAAACAAAGTTTGAAATTATCACTTAACAGTGTTCTCTTACAGGCAGCCATATCTTTCGTCCTCACTTGTCATCCCTCACTGATGCTCCGCCAGCGTATCCCGTTAGCGCAGGCTATGGGGGTTACCATACCATTTTCACCCAAAAAAAAAATGTTCATCCAATCTTTATTTTAATATTGCTATCATCAATTTCCAGCACTCAATATCCTGAGGCGTACAAAATAGCCGTAGCTGCATCGACTACTAGTAAGAAACCTATTGATGAAGAAGAGGAATTGAAAACTGCCACCACCAAAACGGAGTCAAAAATGGTGGCAACTGTCTCCACGGAAACTTTAAAACCTACCACAAGTGATGACAGAAAGAAGAAAAAGGATTCTAAATTGCAGAGTGATGAAACTAATAATAATACTGGTGACGCTATCAGTACAGAGGATAAAAAGGAAACCGGGAAGAAGGTGAAGAGGAACAGTAGCTCTTCAGAGACGGAGAGTGCCAGTTCTAGTGATGACAGCAGCACAGATACGGGTTGAAATTGTTTAAAATATAGTCAATAGTTTTCTTGGAACTGTTTGAGTGCCCAGAAGGGTACAAAAGGCGCTTTGCTTTATGTGAGTTATAATATATTAAATTTCCATCCCCGCTGTATTTAATGTGGACATTGAAAATGTAATATTAACAGATTTGTAGGTACAGTTTGACCAGTGGGTTATTTGGAAATGAATAATATTATATTAGGATTCCTTTAAAAGGATGGGAAAGGACATAGTTGGTTTTCATCCTAGTTTAGCACTTTATCCATATATAAAATCATGAGTAAAATATAGTATAATAATTTACTAATATATAAAACTGTTGATACCAGAGGGAGACTTTGTACAAAAGTCCATTGTTTGGGTACCTGTTCCATTCGTGTTTCTACCGTGAAGCAGTTGTGTTTGCATGGCTGTGTTTCGGTTTGAAGGGTGGGATATGGCGTGAATTTACAGTGTACAGAGGTATAACACCTGAGTCCTCAGGAATGGCAACGCATGGGGGGTATCATGGGTGAAACAGTATACTCTGTTATGTCCATGGTACTGCTCATGTCTATAGGCGACGGTTACCACTTTCCATCAGGTGGGCCGTCAGCTTGTTTGCCATTCTAAGTTGTATAAAAAAATACAAATAAAATTATAATGGGATTTTGAAGTGTGTCTAAATCCACACCAATACTATGCCAGGGTCAGCGCTTTTACCTGCAAAGCTTTCTCCATTAATATATACAAAAACTACACTCATTTACTGTCTGTATGTATGAATATTTGTCATGATTGTGACATGTACAATATAGTATAAAAATACTATAATATAAATACTAAATTCCATCTATGAATATAAATTTTTAGATTTAAAAACATATGTAACTATGTATATTAATTATTGGTAAAAATAAGTGTCACTTGTATTTATGATTGTAAATAAATCAGTATTTAAAATTTGTTAGTATTTTTTTTTTTTAATGACTACAATTTTTTTTTTTTTTTTTTTTTTTTTCTAGTAAATGCAGTTATAATCCAAAGGTTGTCTGGAAAAGTTTGCTCTTAGTGATAAGGCGCCGCCCATTGTTTTCTCAGCGTAATCTTGTAATTGTTTGTATTTATAATAAGTATTCTATAGTACTTTTTTTTTAATGTTTGAAGATGGAATGGTAACCCCGCCTGCGCTAACGATATACGCTGGCGGGGCACCAGTGAGAGATGATAGGTAAGAATAAAAAAAAAAGGTCAGTTAGCTCATCGTGATGAATACATACACTTGGAATTCAGCACGATGGTTTCCAGGGGGGCCACGTGGAGGTCGACCTGGTTGGGTATATTGCTAGCAATGGGGCCTTTAGTCTCCATTATTAACAATCCCTTCCCCCCTCCCCTATTCTAATGTACTATGATATGGTGCTGGTATAAATTGGGCCGCCCCTTTTTGTAAGTGTGGTAAGAAGAGACTAAGGAAGGGGAGATGGGCAGCAGCATTCCTCTTAAAATATTTCCAAAGGCTATGGATGCCAATCTGCCCACCAAGCATAGTAACTACTGGTGAGATCCCCATAGGGGAAGGCTTATATTCAGCAATGGACAGTTAAAGACTGTTATGATACTAGTGTAATCTTTTGAAAGAAACAATAAGGAGTGTTCATCTATTTATGTTTTTTTTTTTTATACCACTGAGGTGGCAAACAAGCATACGGCCCACCTGATGGTAAGTGGTTACCGTAGCCTATGAACACCTGCAATACCAGAGGATACCTGCAATATTAAGATGTTGACATTTAAAACAAGAATGTGGGTAGATCTATATATGAAACTAAGCCAACTGATAACAATAGGGTGCTTTATTATATGAACTTTCAGGATTTATATATTTATATATTTACTTTCAGGATTTATATATTAAAATCTCAATAATTTATAAGAAATTAGAGGGTTTTTTTTTATACCGCAGATGGTTAAACAAGCATACAGTCCATCTGATAGTATGAAGTGAAATTAAATTTATTTGCCAGAAACATTGTAGATAAAGTGTTGCATTTGTCAAGTTTACAAGATGTCCATTATGTTTTGCCACGTCAAATGGCATACAAACAGTCACTGTAGCCTATGGACGCCTGCAACACTAGGGGTATCACGTGTAAAGATTAATGATAAATAAACATGAAATTGTTTCACATAAGTCTTTAATCATCATCATCTTCCTACCCTTATCCCAATCATTTGGGGTCGGCGTAATATGATTTTATCCATATTACAAAAAGATTTGGTTTTTAGTTTTACGACTGGCCACCTGCCTGACGTCAACCCTCTTTAGGATAATAACATAAGTTTCACATAAGTCTTTAATATAATATCAAGTTTTATTCATCCATTTATACAATTACACTTAACAATAACAGAAGTACTTTATATTCTATCGGCATATTTTTCAGTGTATTTCCTGGCATTTTCCAAATATTGCTCAATATTAAACTTATATACATTGGCTATGTCTAACATGAGTGGATCATCAGGATTTGGATTTACAAGCAGGGTCTGGAGAGATATGAGCAAAGTTTCCAATGTGATTGTTGGTAACCAGGCGCCTTTCGGTGGCATTTTTAACATATCCATACATATTCGGCCACCTGGAAATATAGTAAAACATGTAATAAATATGTACCACACGGTCAGCTGCACTGTACTACAATAACTAAAATAAATAGATGAATAGATTTAAATAAAATTTAATACACAAATAGGCTATACTAGTACTAAAAACATTTTTATAAAATTTTATGTACACATTTGCCCAATCATACATACATACAGGAGATACAGCACCAGGCATTAGATCTGGCATATTATTTTTTCAATATAATTTATATAAATTCGGGCCGCAGAAACTGCGGCTAAAATCAAATATTCAAAGTATAAGATTCTCTAACCAGCTTACATCTTCGTTCCTATTGCTTTTGAGACTACGGGCCTGTAGGGAGCAGAAGCAAAATCCTTCATAAAAGAGTTGAGTCTGCGCATTGCGGATAGGGGCCATGATCGCCGTTCTGGTTCATATCTGGCTCAAAGGATATCTCTGACAATCCAACGCGGAAATGCCGCAAGTGTCATGGGGACCTTTGGGTCGGGTACTGATCATGAATGGAACTAATCATTAAATTTTATTTTTTTAGTGACACTGTGAAATTTACTCAATTGATTTTGATTTGTTTAACAATATTAAAAATAAACAGCATTTATATAAATTAAATATAAATATTTTCTTAAATAATTAAATATCTTTAAAAAAAACAATGAGAGTTTGCAATAATCACTATAATTTTATTATACTTAGAATGTAAACAAAGTGATAATTCATAATGGAAAGTGGTAACCAAATGGTGAAAATGGCCATCAGGGTTTAATGGATAATATAGAAGGTTGTGGAACTTCTGGTAGTAATAGTGATAGTCAATCTTTCGAGTGTTGGCAGTCGCTCACATACTAAAAGTAGCGGAATTAATTACTAATGTAAGTGGTACCAATTCCTTTGTAAAAAAAAAAAAAAAAAATTAAGTTTTTTAATAGTGCCCCTATCCATACACCTCGATTCCAACAACCGACCCTATGGGTATGCACTGACCGACTACTTTTATAAAATATCTCACCTTTGTCAATATTTGGATGATAAATAGGTGTATCGAACTTCAAAAGCGGCGGTTCAAACGGATAATTATCGGGGATTGTTATGATGAGTTGGAATTTTCCGTTCTCGTAAGGAGAGCCCTTAGGACCGAGTAAAGTGACTTTGAGCACATCTAAATTATCTTCCGTCTTTGGCACGCAAGTAATTCCCCAAGGCGAATTAGTTTCAAAGTTTTTCATTTCTTGAGCAAGGCGGGCCGCCCGCGGTGCTGAAGTCATTTCTCGATACTATTACTTAAAAATAATCAGTAATAAGGGAGATTTAGCTTAAATATTGAGTTTTGGAAATATTATTCAAAATTTGTAAGCTTGTTAAAAACGGAAAACAAAGAAGTCATTAAAAAATAATAACAAAACCAAAGAGTACATAACCAAAACACAACATATGTTCCTTTCCTCTTAAATTGTATCACAAAGTCAAACATCAAACATTAATATCTTCTAAAAAAATCTCTATAAAATAATTAAGTAGTACAACAATATAGCTTTCGTTATTACAATGAGTAATATAATGAATATTTATTCGTAATATTGTTTATTATCCTATAATTATAGATTACTTGTATGAAATGATATTATATAAATTAAAAATGGAATACATTTGCTGTGCCTGTATGGCTTAATTCTTTTGCCTTTCCCATTGCAGATAAATGATACATATACTATTTGACATTTAATTGACATTTACTGATACGTAGATAAGACGAAAAGGCGGGAAACTCGAATAAGAACAAGCGGGTTTTTTAAATTTTTTTTATTAATTTATTAAAACTATCTCTATCAATTCTTATTATTGAATAAAATATTATATTTTCACTAAATTCAGCGACAGTAATATAATTAGCATTCATGGGGAAGCGCAGTTGTAGAAAAAGGAAAAAAAAAAGATGACGATTCAGGTGATGTAGAC